ATATGAAAAATATATCAAAAATTCATGTGGGTACCCAAATGAAAGGTCTCGATAAGTGTAACATCAGGATGAGCTTATATCTTTAAAAATGTCAATAATTAAGAAATGACATTGTATTTTGAGAATTATTGACATTTTTAAAGATATAAGCTCATCCTGATGTTACACCCATCAAGACCTTTCATTTGAATACCCACATTAATTTTTCATATATTTCATATATTTATATATATATTATATATATGTATATATGAAAAATATATCAAAAATGCATGTGGGTACTCAAATGAAAGCTCTTGATGAGTGTAACGTCAGAATGAGCTTATATTTTAAAAAATGTCAATATTTCAGAATTTTTTTTATTAAATATTTTATTACAATAATTTTATAAAATTCTAAAAAAAGTTCTCATGCCAGTCAACTTCAGAGTTTATTTTTTTTTCAGTGTATTTTTGAGAAAAACACGTTTGAATATTAATCTCAGTAATATTTCTTACAGATTAATAGACTCTTAAAAAAAATGTAGCTTAAAAATTGAAGAAACATGCTATAAAATTTTGCTAAATTATTTTTACAAGTATAAATTATCAGAAAATGAATTTAAAAAAATTTTACACTTATATAATGGACCTCAAGTTCTCAACAAATTGATCAAACTCTCAAGGATATTTCAAAAGTAATATACTTGTCATGTCTGAATGGAATTGCAGATATCCATTAAATCTTTTGACCGTTAATCCACTTGAGTTTGATTGGACACTTACAACTTATCATGGAACATAATATATAAGTAGTCCAAGTATATATCTATATACTTAATATTTATTTTACAACACAACAGAAGAGACCGATGTCTCAACGATAGTTATGATAAATCATTTTAATCCTAATGATCTTGCAAGTTTGTGTGTGTGTGTGTGCGGATATCAATAAATAATAAGCATGTATGCAGTTAATCTTAATATTACATTATATGCATTGGAGGACTTTCGACAAAATAATAAGGTCAATGACACGTAATGAGGGAGGAAGGTGCAACGGAGCGTGCAATAACCCAGTGTAAATCCAAGTAGAATATAAGAGCTGGTTCTTCATCAAGATCTGTTCACGTCATCTCAATGTATAAATTTATAAATTTATTTACATCCACATAAAAATATGTACATGATTGTATTTATTTATTTATTTGGATGGTTTTTTGATCCGTTCGATAGTTAATAGCTCGGATGTGATTGAAGCTTTCGATTTAATTTAAAAATGAAATTCCGAGTCGGGGAATTTTTTTTTTTTCGCTCCCAGGATTTCAATTAGGATTTTAATTAATTATTTTATCTATACAGACGGACTTCAATGTTATTATTATTGAAAACTACTGTACTCACTTTGTAAGCGTTTCTAACGAGGAGGTGTATATGGTACCCCCAACGTCGATGTGAACTGGCGCGGTGTACCTCGATGCTGCTGCAACACACGGTATACCTGGCATTTTAGCGTTGTATGCAGGAGCTACTGGTGTTGGCGGTGTTGGAGACGATGAGTTAGACATCGTGGGCGATGTTGCTGGCGAACTGCTTGGCGACAGCAATCTGACAAATATACTTTTCAACGTTAGGATGTCAATTAGATTTACGTTCAAAATTTTTTTATTTAAAAATTATAAAAAATTATTTTGAAGAGTGTCCAGAATTTTGCCGCAAATTTAAAATAACAATTAAAATTTTTTTATATTATGACTAAATTATTGGTATTATAAAATTTTTTTTTTTTAAACAAAAAATGTTGAAAATTTTAATTAAAATATTTTATAAATTCATCTTTAAAATATATAAGGAATATTTGCATATAAATAATTTAAAAATATTATGTAGTTATCAATAATTTTTTATGCATATATTTTTAAGATATGTTTCTTTTATAATTACTTTTAAGTATATTATTAATTTATTTTTAATATAATTTTTTTTTATAGAAAATATTATTAAGATACTACATAAGTTTTGTATTAAAAAAAAAAAAAAATGTAATAAGAAGAAAATTTCTAGAGCAAAGTTCATATATAATTCGAAAGTACCTCATTTTAATTTGAGCGCTAGGAAACATATTGCGTTGCACAGCTAATTCAGCCTTTGCCTCCTTTCCATCAGGCTCACATTTTCGTCTAAAACATAATTTATTCATACATTTAATTATAAAAAAAAAAAAAATTAAATACAATTATTGATTAAAAATCAAGTACTGTCTAATTAACTAATTAAAATTTAAATCTTCTATATACACAGAAAAAAAATTAAATCAAGTAAATAATTTTAAAGAATTTAATCTTGATCTAAAATAATGAAACTCTTCAATATTATTTTGGATCAATAATTTTTCTCTTGATTAAAGTTTTTTTTCTGGGTAGAAAAATGTCCTAAGTGATTTTTGAATGATATTTTCAATATGAATTGCGTGGTATTAAAAATTAAAAATCGTGTCTCGATATTTACGTCTCTGTCAATAAAATTTATCGAGCTGAATACATTATCAAGTTGTAATAAAATAATTATTTCAGTATGTGGTATGCGTTATCGTGTTGCGAATTTTCACGTGATCCTTGAGTTAACGTGCGTTCCAGGTATGTAAAAAATCACACATAACACGAGTGTGCTGAAACCCTGAGATACGAAGGCAAGAACACGGATTTACGATTCGAGCGACTTTTATTTACTGCCCGGAGTCGAGCACGAGAGTGGATTCATCCGCCTACGATACTCTCGAGAACAGTGGCGTAACCAATCCTTGCCAAGTTTGCTTAAATATTGTTATTTATTTTATTAAGAGGTTTCACATCGTTCTCACCAATAGTCAATTTATGATGATAAGTATTTAGGCTGTATTCCAAAATATTCTACCTCTAGATAAATTAAGAAATTACCTTGTATCTCGTGAAATATTGACATTTTTAAAGATATAAGCTCATCCCGATGCTACACTCATCGAGACCTTTCATTTGAGTACCCACATCAATTTTTCATATATTTTATATATTTATATATACTATATATATGTATATATGAAAATATATGAAAAATG